GCTATTAAAGTTTAATATCTCAGAAGAACTGAGGCACATAAATCCTCAGCGGGATCTATTTATCGCTATTCATTTTTTTATTTATTAAACCTTTATGACTCTCGAGATTAAAAATCTCTTTTGCAAGAGTGTCCTGGCCAGCACACGCAGATGTACAACTGGTGGCTGCACAGACTAGTAACACACAGAAACACACACAGCAAAATGCACAAAATAGGTACAGAAATGTGCATGAGGTGAAGAATGAAACATAAAAATACCCAAAATTATAAATTCAAAGCTAAAGGAAACTTCAAACATCAGAGTAAGTTATTGTCTGGGGCCAGAAACAGGAGCAGGAGTGTTCACACAGAACATCTGCCGCCTGTAGCAGCTGCCTCCAGCTCAATTTAAATCTCCTGAAATTCATTTAGTAAGATCAGCTCATTAATTATTGTGACTTTTGTTTTAATTGCTGATCCTCTGGACATAATTACAGGAAATGTGATACTTATTATACCCAGTCATCAACCTCCAGGGCTAAAAAATAAAAACCAAAGTGGACCTGCAGTTCTTCTAATGGCCACATGAGGTTGACACCAAAACCAAGTCCGTCCAAATACTTCACATGTTAAAATGTCCAACTTTACAGCAGAAATAAATATGTTCACAGCCTGGGACCAAAAGCAGCTTTAGCCTCTATGGATAGTTTTACATATGAACATCTGTATGGTGTATGAGGATTTTTATAATGAACCCATTTTTGTATTTTTAAGTCTTAAAAGTTAAAGATTTGCCTCATGTCCACTAATTCGAGACACAGAACTAGATTTCCCAACAGGTTTTTGTGCTGCTGGTGCCATTTGGAACATTTTATTTGGATTGTGTGACAAATAATACGGCTTTCTGTGTGGTAAAGACTGTCCAATCAGTCTGTATTTAGCAATAATTAGATACCTGTGCTCTACAGCTATGCACCTTGCTAACCAAGCTCAGCTAATAACTTGTATATGGTTGCTACTAGCTCTAAAACAACAACATAGCAGGGGCCAAAATGGTAACGCCGAGGCTTCAGAACCAATGGGTGATGTCACAGTGGCAACAATCTATGATTAGACTGCACACAACAACAGACGCACAACAAACCTGGAGTCTGCCCACACTCCAGCTCGCCCTGAATGATCCGTTTTCTTATTATTTAGCTGACACTTGAACTTAAGTGACATTCTTCAAACGTGCCTGTGCTAACACAGCTGAAGGCACAAACGCTGTCTGCAGATGCTGGATGTAAACTCGCTCTGTCACTTTATATAATTTTTCACAGAGTGGGAGCAAGTTCCTCGGTTTGAAACCAGCTGGTAGCTCCACAGCCGCTGAAGCTGGCAGTGAGTGATGACCACTAATGGGCCTGTTTTCAAATTAATCCTTTCATGTCATGCTATTTGCATTGCAGCCTCGCCAGCGCTTGGTGAAATTTCCAACTCCAGCCGGAAACAAGGTTTCATTCCGATGGCTGGATTCAATAAGGGCGCACTCAGGGGTCTCTGAGTGTTTTCAAAATCTTGGATAGCAGACCGCGTGTTTGTGATAGCGTGGGTTTAAATTTGGCTGTGGATTTTTGCTACATGTCAACTAATCCTATCTCTAATATTTTCTGTCACTAAGTGCGTAACTGAGTCCAGATTGCATTCAATAAAACCACAAAGAATAAGAGGGCATGATTAATGACTTCACGGCTTCCATTTAGCTAATCTTTTTTATTCTTTTTTTCTTTTTCTTTATCTTATTTTATTTACTTCAGCTGCTGCATGTTAAATAAAATATTATATGCTACTTTAAACTAGAATTTTTCTTTTGTTTTACATTTATTCTTCATGGGAATCATTCTTAAAGCACCTTGAACTGAAATAACCTGATTAAAAATGTCTTATAAATACGTTTAAGGGAGTGGATGCCTGATAATGACACCTAAAGGTTTACTAAGGTTTACTAACTACACTTATACAAGGTTCCTGAATTGTGTATAAACTGTATTTAAAAGATGAATGCAGTCATCAAACTATATTTTAAACTGCTTAATCAGTTCAAGGTCCTGGGAGGGCTGGAGCCTATCCCAGATGTTACTGGGTAAAAGCCAGGGTAGCCCATCACAGGGAAATACGAACATGGGCTCTGAAGCCCTTAACTGTTTCCCCCATAAAGACGACATCTGATGACCTCGTCTGCACCTGTAGTTTTCTTACATTTTAATTGGTTAATAGGTTAGAATAGTTTCCATTGTATTTCCAAGGGTAACTGCACAGCTGGAGACCACCCTCACTACCTTCTGATGCAAGGTTTCAAGGTGTAAAGAGCTACACCTTCATTCTTTCTAAGGGCCACCAGAGGGCGACCCCGTGAGTGTAAAGACTTCTACGAGAAAATGATTCTGCTGCTCGCTTCCGGTCCGAATCACTCTTTTGAATCCATCCATCCATGCATGAGAAGGTAATATACTCCAGCTTTAGGTCACATTCATCCCTTTCTCGCCGCTACAGAGAACGCCAAATGTAAAGTTCACACTTCCAAGAGGTAGTCTGATATCCTTCACAGCCTATGCCTGCACAGAAAGTACACATAGCCTTTAAAGGCACCAAACTCTGCTGAAAGTTGATAAAAAGGGAAATGAAAACGTGCTGGAAATTTAAAGACAATCTGTGCGCTAGATGTTAAGAAATTAGACTCAAAATGTTAAATTGGCCTCTTGGTTGTATTAAAGGAAACGTAAGAGGATTAATGGTGTATTTGTGGTGACAGGACTGATGGATGGAATGCACCATTTTTCTTACTGAGTATGTAATCTGAATACATGAACTGTTGAAGCAAATATGGTAGCCAAAGTCTGCATCTTTTTACAGTATATTTCAAAACACTCTACGTTTATGCACTTCTTTGCTGGACCAGAAACAATGACCAAACAGAGAAATTAAAACATAGATGCATGGTTCCCAGATCAGTGGGTTCTCTACTGATGGAGGATACTACACCTTTCAGACTGCTTAAGCCTAAAAGGCAAATTTTTCAGGGCTTCTGGGATAGCCCGCAGGTATCAAGGTTGTTATGGAATTTACAATGAGACCAGGATTAACCTCGTGCAGAAATAATTGTTGAGGAGATGCAGATGAATTGAAGCAAACATTATTGTGGGAACTGTCTCGATACCAAGGAGAATGGGAGAGACATTTTGCAGCAGCTGTGATCATGCAGTTTCATGACCCTGTTCCAACTGTCCAGATAAGGAAAGACATTATGTCTCTGCAGTATCTACAAGCAGCTGGCCCACAGTACAACCAAAACACTATCAGTACACAGACATCACTGTAGTCATAAAAGCTTCAATGAGACTATTTTTCAAATAAAGGAGT